CACACGATCAGGTCTGGATAAAGGAGCTGACGGAAATGCAGAAGAAACGACATCTGTGAAGTCAGGACAACTTGGCATTAGGAAATTATCTTGCTGGGAAACTGAGTGACGCAAGACTGGCCTGGTAGTGGAAGAGGTGAATCCAAATTTCGCTTAGCGAGCGCCATCTTGAGTGTGTCCTGCAGAGAGAAAACCACTGAAGAAGGCGCATCCTGAAGGCCTGAACCATCGTCGCTATGGGGACATGGAACTGGGAATGTGAGGGTATCGTCTCCTCCATGGGCGTATAATAATCCCATTCCTCCCGGTCTAAGGATTCAGAGGCCGCAATAGATAAAGTGTCTGGTTCTCTCCTGGAAAACCTGGATGCCACCTCACACCTGGGCAAGGGAGGAGCTAAAACACCCACCCCTGTCCCCTCACTCACATTCTGACGAGTAGGGGGTGCAGATAATAAGACTTTAATACCCTGAACTGCGTTCACAAGCTCAGCTACTTGCTGGGTCAATGTACTTGACTCCGAGGAGGTTCGCATCCTCTTTGAAGGCCTTCCAGTCCCACTGGCCACACGCTTGCTACTCACATGCGACGCTACCCCAGCTGATGGAGCAGAATTCTTAATCTCAGGATCTAATTCAGCCAGTCGATGTTGTCTCATCTCCAAGGACATCAAACCACATTCAGGACATGGGTCTACTAAAGCCTCTCGGAGGTGATCAATGCCTAGGCATGTGGGACATTGAATATGAGCATCCATGAGATCCATTGGACCGGAGCAGAGGGAGCATGAAGCTCCCATAACTTCCAGACCAGTAGTTGAAAAAAGCCCTGGTCAACCAATGGGGTTATAAAAAAAGGCGTTACAGTTGCCACGATAAGCCTTATCAATGTATCACTCTGGTTAACCAATGAGCATAACATAAAGTAGTAATAACAATAAACAATACTACACGCAGTCTGACAGAACCCTGGTTAACCACTGAGTTCACGTGAGTACTCACCTCAACACTGCTAGTAGCGATCGGTTCCAAACAAACCCTGGACAACCAGTGGGTATATGGTCCGATGCATGTCGATAATGCTATTAACTATAATCCAAAATATTTCTCCCGAGACACAGCTGTAGCGGGGAGCAGTTGCTCACCAAAAACGCTGTGCACGCTCAAGCGAGATCTCTTCGCGAGAATGACAAAGAGAACGACCGTGAAATGAACGGAGCAGATATACCTTCCGACACATCATCGATCAGGGTCACATGTGACAAATCAATGCGAGATTCTCGATATGGTTCGCGAGACGCGACTCCTTCCACTATGTTTGACCGTCTCTGGCGGTCTGTAACAGTAAAATAGAACAAACCCAGCTCATGACAAATTCTTATTGATATGATAGAAAATCTCATCACTTGACAATGAAATTGCATTTCCCCCAAAAATATGTATTGTATAAAAGTACAAAAAGAATCAATAAATTGTTACAACCAAAAATGTTAAGAGCAATTGAAAGCATTAAATGCTTTGCAATGTCCATTGCTAAATGAATCCTGACATAGCTTGAATAAGCGTTTCACAAGGCCATGTCATTGTGAGAATGAATGTGTAGTCCAGTGATCCACTCGTGGCAGGTTAACCCTTGTGTTCTGTTCGATTTCTGTGTACACCCCTTATGGACCGGGTCAAATTGACCCTAATTGGATTCAATACAATTCCTCAAAAATCACACTATGAAAAACAACAAAGATTTAGATACAAACTGTAAACTTTTAATATCAACATTTGTCAAACATTACAAAAACATTATATCTGAAAATATGATTTATGAAAATATTTTTAAAACATTTTTTAAAACAGTTTTGTTTTGACAAAATTGGAAAATAAACAGTATACTGATTTTTTTTGCATATCTTTTTTTTAACTTTTTTATTTATTTTATTTTTACATTTTATGCTTTGAACATCGTAACTGAACAAAAAAAAATTGCTGTATAATGAAATTTTTTCATTTTCCTAAGTTAACTTTCCCTAGTTTCCTAAGACCTATTTTCCTAGTTTCATTATTCACTCACTGGGAAGTGAGAAACCAAACATAACAAAAACATACATCAAATAAATGTTTTTTATTTATTTTTTGTCTCTGTGAAGCTGCCTTTGAAAATCCTACATAAAAGTTTTGGTTAAAAGCTAGGTATTTTAGATATTTTAAATATTGAAATGAGAGCTTATTTTACTATCTGTGTCTGACAAAGATTTTCATCTGTAATTTGCAAATAATTCTGAACACTGTAATTTTAGCTTTTTCAAGTGTGTTTGGTTAGGGTTAGAGCACTTTTAGATGCACTTGCACGTTAGAACTGGAGTTGAAGTGCCCTGACATACAGAAAATAAATGTTTTTATTTTGTGTCTGTACAGTTGCTTTTGAATGGCTGTCTATGAGGGTCAAATTGACCCGCGAACATCACGAACGTAACAGTAATTTTGTTTGTATATGTCAAAACACATCAGCATGTTGAAACTTTGCATGCATGTTCATCATGATAAATGAGAAAAAGTCACAAAATATCAAGAAAAAAAACAAAGGTTAACCAGTATTTCCAACAACTTGAAAATCGAAACGGGTCAAATTGACCCGCAACATAACACAAGGGTTAAGACCTCCAATGTAAGCTTTCCCCAGGAAGCGATGATAGATGGTGAACTTTCACCTCTAGGTCAGGAAGCTAAGTGACTCTGGCATGTCAGTACTTGCTCTGCTTGATTCATGTAGTATCTGATATCAGAGTTGTCCTTCATCAAGCCTTCTCTTTTAGAAAGATGTGTCATGTTCATAGTAGTGGGACAATTGTTAGTAACTACTGTAAAAGAGTCTGTCTTGATTTTTCATTATAACTGCTATAAATAAACCACATAGAAGATTCCACACATGGACAACTTTTGCTCCAACTGGCATATTCTGTGATCAGTGAAGACTGGACATGGCTGTACGATGAGGGGGGAAGGGGGAAGAAGACAGAAGTGTTAGAAGCATCTTGGAAGCCATAATTATGACGTAGCTTTTGGAATTCCTCTGGAGGCTCGCCTCTCTGGGATCTTTATACCTGTCACAAAGTCCAAGCTTTCTGCCTTCGGAACAATTCAAAATGTGCCAACAGACAAAGGGAGAAAAGAAAAACAAAGGTTCGGGAGATCAAGATTATAGAGTCAGTTTCCTCAAGCCTCTGTAAACGGTATCACCACCATTGAAGTAAAGATGCCATAGTTTTTATAGAGCTGTTATATTATTAGGGTGTCTTGCGATGCATTTCTGAAACAGGTTGGAAATGAATGACCTATCATTACAGAACCAGTCTGAACCCTTATCAGGACATTTCATCGGTCACAAATTGGTACATTTTATACATTCCCGTCCATTATGAAATATGAAAAGTCTGTGTGGAAAACATTTTTGAAAACCTTCGAGTCTGAAAGCTGATGTGAAATGTAATGATTGTGCCAGCATACAATAGGAGAGAAGCAGAAGTCAAGTCAAGTCAAGTCACCTTTATTTATATAGCGCTTTTTACAATACAGATTGTATCAAAGCAGCTTCACAGTGATAACATGAAAATAATACAACAAAGTTTGTTTCTAGAAGAAAATTGCATCAACGTCCACCTTAAGTAAGGCAGATCAATAATATTGTTGAATATTAAATGTCCCCAACTAAGCAAGCCAAAAGCCAAGGCAACAGTGGCAAGGAACCAAAACTCCATCAGGTGACAGAATGGAGAAAAAAACCTTGGGAGAAACCAGACTCGGGGGGGCAGTTCTCCTCTGGCCAACGAAGGAACAGTGTATGATTCGGGCAGCATTACAAGTCAGATTAGATCGGAACATTTAGAGTATTTATCCATTTCCATCTGGTTGGAAGTCGAAGTAATATGCACTTTTCACACAGTATTTTTTCAAGCTTTTGTATAATAATAGGACTTTATTAAATCTAAATGTGTTAAATATGTGATACATTTCATTGGAAACATCAGCGGCACAGTGGAATTGGCTTAAAATAAGTCATGATTTACTATTTCACAGAATTTATTGCTAAACTTCAATAGGCAATGTTTCAGTAGTTTTCTTTGGTTGCAGGCCTGCTTTTACACAATATTCAAATGATAAAGCCAGGCAAATGAAAAACGATTTTTTTTAACAAGGAGGCAAACAAGGGTATGTTTGTTCTGAGAGTGAGGAAAAAAATCTTAAAGTCAGATTTTGAATTTATGGGCTGGAATTACAAAATGTTATATCACAGAGACAAAAATAGACCTAAACAGATACAGATACTGTATATCACTTACCGTGATTAGAATGAAATTTTAAGATGAATATTTTAATCTTTATTTGCCTGTCTATATGGTCAAAGTATACAACTGACGATGTACTTTCACATACATGTCCTATTGTCTGTTGCTACTTACAGTTAAAGGGAAAATTTTTCCAAAAATGAAAATTCTGTCATACTCACCCTCATACTGTTCCAAACTTGCATGACTTTCTTTCTTCTTTGGAAGATAAAAAAAAGATATTTTGAACAATATTCATATACCATTTTGGTTACCATTAATCTCTGTTGTATGTACAAAAAAACACTCAGACATTTCTTAGCTCTTTTCCCACCAAGTTTTTCCCGCAATCTATGTTTTCACTGTTATATGGGTGCTGTTACTGAAATAGTTCAGCATCTCCGGATCCAAAAACAAGCAAAGAAGAAGATCTGCATAAACTAGAAGGCACAAATAAAAGTTGCTTACGCACAAGTAAAGCTACCGTGATCACCAAACATTCAACAGCATGTAAATCAAAACTGTCTAATGTTACAGAGAAAAATGTTGAACCCACAAAGAGGTATGTGCAAGCTTTGGGGGTGTTGATGGAAATCGATTTACTAAATCGATGTTTTGATCTACGAAATCTTTGTCAAAAACACGATTTTCTCATCTTGAAAATATCTTCTTTTGTGTTCCACAGAAGAAAGAAAGTCATACAGATTTGGAACATCATGAGGGTGAGTAAATGATGACAGAATTTTAATTTCTGGGTGACCTATACCTTTAATTTCCGGTCTTTTTATCAGAAAAATAATTTATTTATCCTTTTATTGTTAACATTTTCCCATCTTTATCTAACAGTAAACTACCTGCTGGTGAGGTAGGTACAACTAAGCCATTGTTTACTCAAAGTGTGCTATTAGATAAGTGTGCATAAACCCTCCGAACAGAGATGGCAGATCAATCATTGATGTTTACAGAAGAATTGTGAGAGGGGGAAGGTATGGGTGAGAGTGCTGCTGCTCAACAAAAGGCCTGTAAGCTGATTGAGCCCCCCGTTAAGCCTCCTCCCCAAGGATCCAGGCGGGAAGTCGAGTAAAGTTGGTGTCCGCTGCTGCCCTTCCTCTGCCTCAGGCAGGGTCATAAAGACCCCCTCCTTCAGGCTTCATGCGATCGCATGCTCCCAATCACATAGGCAATGGCTGCAGATGAGGCATTCATGTGTCTGCTTACACACTCAAATGAGCAAATGCATGACCCACACCATTGCCAGTACAGTGAAGGAAATTGTAGGGTGCAAGTATTTCTTCAAACCACCTCTGGAATGATCTCTTTAGTGTTTTATGAAACTGCAAATCAATCATAATATCTCTCGAAAATAGTTTTAACATGTTAATATGACAATGTTAATGTATTTGGGATTGACAGACTAATCTGTTATGCATGCTGCTGCAGAGCAATATGGATTTCTACCACCAACAGCCACGCTTCTGTGAGCAATAATGCTGCTGCATGAATAGGCATACATAAATCCCGTAGCTGTCATGCTGAACTGACAACAGGAAGCAATCGCGAGTTAAACAGTTTATTTAAAGCACACACACAAAGTCCAGGACACAGTAAGCCAGTTGGTGAAAGGTGACGCAGGGACTTCGATGGTCAAATCCGGTGAAGTGAAGACAGACGGTGAGACGACCCAAATCCACACGGAAGACGACGAACAGGAACACCAGGCAGGAACAGGAACACCAGGCAGGAACACGAACCAGAAGACAAGGAAACATCAAACAACGATCTGACAAAGATGAGAGAACAGCGGTGAGTTTATGAAGCGTGGTGAGATGAACTACAGCTGGTGATGTAATGATTAAGTAATGACATACAGACACGCCCCTTGCACACGTGCACTCATACAACAACATAAACACAAGACTAGAAGGAACCAGCGAATACGTCTACCGTGACAGTAGCAGACCAAGGCAGGTGGAGCTGGAGGAGTTGGAGGGTTTCAGACGAACTTTGATAGCGCACTGAACCAGGCTATTTTAAATGTTGAGCAAGCAATCTCCATTGGCTGTAGGATCTGCAGAGGCCAATCAGCTTGTGCTGTGTATAAATGATGTGATGACTGAACTAGATATTTGTATCTTTGTTATCCACCTTATTTGTAACATAAGAGTGGACACAGCCATTTGTAACTTGAATGTGCGAGGTTTCCTGTGTCATCTGCTTTTCTGAAAAAAGAAGTCAGAATTGTGGCTATCACGCAATTCTGACTTTATAACTCACAATTGCGAGTTTACATCTCAGAATTGCGAGTTATAAAGTCAGAATTGTGAGATAAACGCGCAATTGCCAGAAAAAAGGTCAGATTTTACGTTTGATAAACCAATCCGAACGTGAATAGAGTTCCATGGCTGAATTATTCGTTTATGTACCTATACATTATAAAAAAAATCAGTGTAGAAACAATTTTCAGTCAGAAAATGAATGCTTTCTAATCCTAGTAAAGAAAACAGAAACACATCAGGTACATTGAATTAAACATTCAATTTTGAAATAGTCTTTTTTTTTAAGTATACTCCAATCTTGTTTTTATCTACAACTTTGAAAAAAAATCATTGTTTACAGTGTAGCGGTTAATCGAAATCGGAAGTCTCGCACTCTCAGAAAGTAGCTTACTTTCGTGTCCAAAAATAAGGTGGATAAGAAGGCTGTAGTGATTTGTAAACCATGTTTGGTAGAAAATGAAAAGAGTTTTACCATGTTAACCTGTTAAGTATTCAAACATTCATTCCTATTGGGATTCATATCTGCAGGCAAATGTGAACAAAGCTGGTCTCAAAGACAAAGAGATAGAGTGAGAAACTCTTCAGTCGTATGCTCTTTCCTGAGCAGTGCCAATTATTTCCCCATCCATTGACTGACAGCAGTGAATGTGGGTCACGAGGCACACAATCTTCTCTTGATTGACAACTAGTAAATACAGCATTGAGGAAAGGTTTTAATGATCCTCCGAGATCTCAGACCAACCACAATGTGCTATTCATCTCTAATGAGGAGTAAGTGTGTCACAGTGCGTTGGCTTGTTGTCTTTGGACCTCCACGATGATAAATTTAGCATCCTTTAGGGGCAGTGTTGTGGGATCAAATCTACAAAACCCACTGAAATCCAAGTCTTGCCTTACATAACAAAAGCCTTTCCGTAATTCATGACACTGACCCGAATCGCCCCATCTCATTTTCCAGGTTCCCATTGTTTCCGGCCGCATCGTTGTCCCACCTCCCACACCGAGAGTGTGTCCGTCCTGGAGCGTTCCAAAACGGATGACATCAACCCCTCTCCTGATCGACAGTGCAAGCGAGGTAAAGGGTCACATGGCAGCATCACTGAGTCTATTGTGCTGCAGTGGGAAAGCCACACGGACTGTAATGAGCTGGAGGGCTTGGCTGTAATCTGCCAACACTGCTGCAATATAAATCACAGCATAAAAAAAACCCTCTATAATAGCACATTGTTCGAGGCCAGTAAAAGCTGGGGTCCAAGGCACTATTTTCACGTTTGGAATGAAAGTGCATTTTTGGCGCATTGTACTGGGCTTGTAAAAAACGCTCTTTTCACGAGTCAGGTGAGTTTACGCAGCAAGAGTATGCTTTCATGTTGCAAAGACATAGTGAGTCTTTCCAGCATAGTGAGAGCTTTATAACCTGCTGATGCACACATATCTTTTTCTCCACCGTCACGGTTCCTGGAAAAAGCTCGAACATTCCTGGTCTCCTTCGCGCCGAGCACCCTTCTCTGCTTCCAACTCACTAGGCATCCTGGGCCCTCTCCATTTCACCTGGGATCATCTGAGCCCCCTGGAATGTGGGATTAATGGCCCTCTACGTTTAAGATATCCGAGATGGCACGTTCTCTTATCAGTAACACCCATTCATCATGATGTGAGTGGTCAGAAGCACGTTAGGAAGTAGATTGTAGAAATCGCTTATTAAAAAAGTCACCACCGAATTAGAAGAGGGAGCCATTTCATTTTGTAGATGTAGCACTAGTCCAAAATGACGAGGGGCCGATGGGATTAGCAAGCTAAGCAAAACAGAAATTGATGCATTTCAATATGATAGCTCACATTTTAACAGACCGTCACTGCCAAGAGGGAATTAATAAGCACTCTTGCAGCCTCATGCAATCTGTGCGCAAGGCTGGCATTTTCCAGCAACACAGTGAGCGAACGCAAGACATAAATTACAGCATGATTAAAGACCCTCCTGAGAGATGTTTATGTATTTTATGCATGGTTATGGTCAGCTTCATCCCCGTTTATGCGGATGTGATTGCCTTTAATTATTGAGAGCCATCTGATAATGCCAGATGACTGCACCTCTTCTTTTAAATTATGATGTAGACGTCACGTTGATACGGCATTAAAATAAATATAGGTTATCTTTTAGTTCGGTAATAGCACATTTCAGGCTGCCGCGGTGCGTTTGCTCTCTCTATGAGACACGCTTTTGAGCATCTCAAAAGTACAAAATATACGGGTAAACCTTGTCGGCGCTCCAGTCGTCTGTGGTGACACGCGTCATTACGAGGTTGCGGTCTGTGTGGAAGCGCTGATTGGTGGATACCGAGGGTGTGCGCGCATCATGCGCTGGCTTTCTTACAGACCCCGAATCCCTGATTCAGTCCATGCTACGAGGTAGGCATAAGCTAAACCACCGCACCAAACAGGTAAAGCACACCGAGTCTCTCCTAAATGCCATACATCCCCAATATCGCGGAGTATGGGCATGTTGTGCTGTGCACCTCTTGAAGCCACAAAATCATTCGCTCTTTCATTTAAAGCAAAGCTTAGAGAACTGAAATACCAGATTTTAATTTACTGGCGTTCTGTTGTGAATAATCTTGCCAACAGTATTTGAAGTGCTAAATAGGCTATAAAAACTAAGACAGTCTAACCATGTTTTATTCTCCTCTCACCGCGAGAGTATGTTGACCAAGTATTTGTCTGCAGCTTCAGCTGTTCATCTATTTTTCGCCTACGGGTGGCCGCACAAGAAACCGTTTCAGTATGGCAAACCGTTGAAACAAATGAATTCCTTTGATATGCTATTGTCATTAGGGGCCAGTAATTATTGTATCTATTTAGAAACTGTGTATTGCAATTGTTGGCCTGAGATCTTTAATCATAATATTTCATTTTAATTGAAATATAAAGTACCCATTCTAACTAGTCATATATGAGAAGTGAAGTAACTAGTGAGAGAAGAAATAGTAACGTGTGTCTCATAATCATTTGCTGGTTTATTATTGCTTATATATATATATATATATATATATATATATATATATATATATATATATATATATATATATATATATATAAGCAATAATAAATTATATATATATATAAGCAATAATATATATATATATATATATATATATATATATATATCAATTGATCAGTAAATCAATATATGTATAGTATATATCACTGTAAAAAAGTTGCACCCTTAAATTTTTAAGTACAATCAACTTAGATGTTTAAGTCATTTCAACTTAAATTACATTAAACTGACTAAAAAATTTGTTGAATCTTGTATTACTTGTAAAAAAGTTTAAAGTTGCTTAACTTGTTTTAATGAGTTAAAGCAATGTAAAAAGATGTCACAACTTATTGATCATATAAATATAAACAATCTCAACACACCATAACATAACATAAAAAAGGAAACCAGCATGACATAAAAAGCATTTTGCAATGGTAGGTAGGCCTATCTAATAAATAGTTAATAGTGAAATTTAAATAGATAGGCTAGATACTATTGGAATAAGTAACTCTAATTAAAACACAAGTATTAGTAACATAAAATTGCCATATTCACAGTTTCTCAGTAGTCCCACATCCACGAGGATGGCCTGCATCTGATTTGAGGCATGTTTCTCATTTGCAATAAATTTGCATGACTTGTTGTGGATCCCATTAGAGTATTGCCGAAAACCATAGTCACCAAAGAGTAAATCAAGATAGATGTGTTCTGTGTAATTCTCAAAATTTTATAATGAGAAGAGTAGGTGATTTATTGCTAGCGAAAACATTCATTGCATGAACTTCATTGCAATCATTATAAAATGAGGCTCAATTACAACTAAGCCTTGATTCAATTGTGTGTCTACATGCTGCTATGTGTGTGTCAGACTCTGATATGCACACGTCTATATGCCTTTTGTGTTGCTTTGTCTAAGTATGGCAGCTGTCTATGGGGGTGGTTTGAATGATGCCATCCATTAGCAAATTTGTCCCATTTTCTGTACTGTGTGGAGTTGGCACATTGTGACAACGGGACTATATTCAACTGAGTTTTCAAAAACTGCAATGTAAAAAGTCACATTATCATTATGTCCTTTTTTCATGTTCATCTGCTGGGTCACCAATATACCAGCAGTAAGAACAGAATGTGCCATTCACTGTCAATGTCCCGGGTTTGGGGAATCCGGATATCTTACTCCTTTATACATCTCCTTGATGTATATTAAGATCACTGAGCATTTTCTGCACATTGTCGTATAATGTTTACTTATTTCAAATGTTTGAATTTATTGTAACACACTGTGTGTTATGTTACAATATGTTAACACACATAATATGTTCTAGTTTGAAACTTTGTTTTAGTTTATTAGGGCCCGAGGCCCCGAGCACCGATGGTGTGAGGACCCTCTTGGAATTACTCCGTTTTTCCATGAATGTGTTCTATAATACCTGATACTCTATCCAAATAATTTATAAAGAATCGATCAAAATTATAGTTGCAATCTATTTAATGCTCATATGCAGCATGGAAGTAGCCTACAAACTCTTACGCTTAAATATTAAATATGAAATTGCAATCATCTATAGCCAAAGCAATGATAAACACTATTTTTATTTCAGTTGTATCAAATTTATTTCATGGTAACGAATAGTAGCCTATTAGTGTGCATAGAAATACCATTTTAGCCTGTCCTATCATATAGACACTCTACACTTTATTTGATTTATTAGAAATTCATGGATTGTAAATGCAACATTTAATATATGCATTTTCTCGTCGATCAATTTCAGTATTGATATATATGGATTGTCTGAAGACTCGCATGTTCTTGTCCTTACAACAGCCTGATGCCTCATAAGCACTTGTAGAGTAAATACCAACCCACTCGTCATTTTACAAGCTTAGTTTATGGCAAGTAGAGACAACTTTCGCCAGACACACCCCTAAAACTTGGACGTGGTGGTCTGCGTCTCTGATTGGTCGGGAAGCACGACTGACAACACCTGCTTAACTCCTTCATCCAAATTGACACCCGGACTCTAGGAAATATATCCAGCATCCCGTCTCCACTCTCACACGCTCTCTCTGTCACCTCGACCAGTATCCACACCAGATCCCAGGCTGACAGCCTGTCGTTATTTATCGAGAAAACTGAGCGTAGAAATGTTGATCAAATGTACACTAGCCTTGCTACTTGTCTCCGTCTTGGGGGAAGTGGTAGGAACGGATAATGTTGATGTTCACGAGAGTCACCCCGAGAAACCGGCCAGTCAGAAGGGACGTCTCTCCTTGCAAAATACAGGTAAGAGAATGCAAGTGTTGTGCAGCTGTGCTCACAGCCCGAAGTGAGTCTTGTGTGTGCGGGCACGTGAGCGCGGGGTCAGAGCGCGATTTAAGCGCTAAGCCGGCCAATGCACATCTTATCACGCGCTGCGCTAACGTTACGTTTTTCGATTACGCAGGAAGACGAGATCTCGTAAATCCCTAGCACACGTAGAGAAATCCAATATCTTCGTAAACTATTAATAGCATGGCACAAGGTATGCAAAGATATTCGGTGACATTACTGTCAGGTTCGCGTGTGTGTCTTATTTTCGAGCGCAGAGTGGATTAGTGTTTGCCTACGACATCCTCTGCTTGTATTATTATTAAGTGGCGATTCAAAGTGATCTCTATATAGAGCATCAAATAGCATATAGACGTGCCCAACTTGTGTTGCATTGCGCGGACAAGCAAGTTAAACCTGTAATGTGGATCTGAGTGATGCAATGGCTTTACATGTTGCACTAGAGGTGGGTCACACTTAAGTTAACCTTTCTCACGGCAGCAGGGCGATTCAATCCCATCCATACATTACAATGAAATAAGGCTGTCAAATCAGGGATCAGAGGTTGACAACTTTCGCATAGGACTGACTGATTCAGAGTAGGTTCGTGTAGTTCCACGAAAGATCCATGTCCATTCCCAACACAAGCTAGCACTGCAACAGCTCATTTTACCTGTGCACCTCCATAAAAGCAGATCCATTGCAATACTTTATGTAAAAGCAGGCAATATTGGATAGTAATCATATACAAGACTCTCTCATATACCGTTTTGTCCAGCTATACTTTAGGAATACTGAACATGAATCTTTAGGTGAAATATTTTGGAATGCGCTTTAAATTGGAATATTTAGGTACACTGTAAACTATATATTAGAAATACTATTTCAGTTAGAATATATAAGAATACTCTGTGATTTAGAATCTTTCTCTGAAAATAATGCACACTCATATATTGAACATTAACAAAATAGTAGGCCTATGTTAGTACTTATGAAGAGGAGATTCATTGAAGGAAATCAGAGTACGATGTTTTTACTTAATGTGTTTGGCAGTCAGATTGGCACAAATAATGTGATGTTAGAGAAAGACAAATAATCTGTCTGTATTTCAATTTTATCATCAAAGTCGCTTTGCTCAAAGCATGAGTGGCCATTGTGAGATCCTTAGAAATAACATTTTAAAATAGTGCAATGTTTATTGTGATTTCTGCAGAGCTTTTTTACTTTTCATGAACTGTTTTGCCTTTAGCTTTGGCTTTATACTGACACAATGGGGTTTCAATTTTACAAGTTGAATTAACTATTTTCCTTGCATTAGAGTAAACTATTTTGTTTCTTATTACAGCACAGTATTTCTTCATTTTAAAATAAAAGTCCTTAAATTGCCAATATACATAATGTTTGTATTACCCTCTGGTTGCTGTTGTACAACTAAAATGTTTAATAAATATAGTTCAATGCAGGACAAACAGGCAGCCTTTCTCTCACTGCTGTTCTGTAATAGGACACGACCAACAGACACATCTCAAACTGTAATTTTATAAAAACTGCTGATCTGATCATAAAGTCATGATGAATACTACTGAATCTCTGTTTTTGTGAGTTGATCTGATCTATCATGAATTGATCTAATGTATCAAATACATGGCATTCGCAGATTTCACACTCTCTAAATCAGCAAGTAAAGTGTTGTGCCTCAGTTTAGCAAAAACACTTTCCTAAATATTAGTACAGTTATTGGTGAATCAGAACGGCCTTTATCAGTTCTGATTAAAAGTCAAAAGACGCTTAATGCTGCCCTTTAAATGTGCGTTGGAGATATAAGTGGAATTGGTGAGAGAGTGTGACTTATTCATTTTGATATTTCCATGTGCTATTTGCTTGTCTCTATTTTCCAAAAACTCAGTAGTCATTTTTAATCTCCTCAGAAAGGTAAAAGTAATCTCGTCCTGCCCTATATACGGTTAACCTTCCTTTCCCACATGTCAGACAGTTACTGCAAGATGCCTCCCAGTTTGATGGACTTTAATAGCATACCTTAATTACCACAGCGCTCTCTCTGCTAAATTTGTCCCCTAAATACAGTTCTTCGATTTTCACAGCAGAAACAAAGCCCGAAAATAGGCCTCAGCGTTCATGTGTGTGCATGATGTAAAAGGTTGTCAAGTATATTTCTAAAGCAGTTTTATTTCTTACATAAATATAGACCTGTTGTAGAGATTGCTTTGGAATATGATGACCAAAATCGAGTTCTAATCTGCATTGCATTTATATAAATTCTTTATTTAGCTCTAAATGACATGCTCTCTCTTTCTAATCTCTACAGCTGAGATCCAGCACTGTCTTGTGAGCGCAGGAGACGTTGGCTGCGGTGTGTTCGAATGTTTCGAGAACAACTCCTGTGAAATTCGGGGCCTCCAGGAAATCTGCATGACCTTCCTGCACAATGCTGGAAAGTTCGACTCGCAGGTAATGTCCTTCAGGGGGGTTCATGCCCCCTCAGACTAGAGGTCTTCTCAGGTCCTAAAATCTGTACCCGACACGAATCACTTCTTACCCGAACCCAACGTGCATAAATAAATTTTAAGAAAAACCTAGAGTCCATTGCACGTAGAAGAGCGGATTCAGAGAAAACGTAGAAAAAGTGAGATAATACCATTGTCATAGGCCCTGTTTACACCTGGTATTAAGATGCGTTTTGGTCGATCGGATCACAAGCGGACGAGGGAGATCAACCTCTTCTGTCCTGATTTCTTCGAGGGGAGGGTCTATGGGCAACGTATGCTGACAAAGTATAAATCCCGTCTGGCTTGTGCGCTTCCCGTAATGTTTACTCGTTAGGTCAGTCACACATTCGACCACATAAGCGTTTAAAATACGAAAGCAATCCAATCAAATGCGTTTTCGACTTCTTACGTCACAAACTACCTTGTATCCAATAACGTCAACGTGCCAGCGGGCTTTAGCATATCATTAACGGTGAACTAGCAGGGGAGTCTCGAGAGATGCCAGGTTATCCCCGGATTTTTTTTTTTTGTTGATGGGAAAAATCGGGTAGATTTAGCAATATAGCGGGTGTATGAAGTATATTGCGATGTTATGATGAACTATATGCCTTTCTCCACTCACTGACATTCTGAGTTGTTCAAAATGTTTCTGATGATTGTTAGAAGGCAGACTGAGATGGCGAATGGGAACATAGTTTGTGTAACATTAGCAACATTATTACCTGTTTGGTAACATAGGCAACCAAAAGGCTAATCATATTAATTACCGTTATGTGTCCGACGTTGTAAAGAGCGATACCATTGTGCAGCGTTTACCTCAGTAAGTTGGCTGAGTGAATCTGTGAGCTGACGTGAGTGAGTGGAGGCAGGGTTAATTAGCATATTCATAGATCCTCGTATACCAAAGGGTGTAGAGTTACATTCAAGCTACTTTAAAGCATGAAGAATTTTTTTCACTGCAAAAAAACGCTTAAATATGTCATTTTGATAATCAAAGATGAGTTTTAAGGGATAAAATGATTGACTACAGGGGGACTTTAAATAATACAATTTTGTTAAATGCCCGAGACAGTTTAAAAGAATTCAAGTCTTCTCGGTTCCATTCGGAAAAAAGCACATTTATTCTAAATTTATCCGAGACCCGAGGCCACTAATACCAAACCCGACCCATTTCTGAGGCACTCATCGAAATTTTGGACCCAACCCCGCTCAGGTCTCGGGTCGCACCTCGGGTTTTCGGATCCAACTGGACCCGTGAAGACCTCTACCTCAGACGCATCCAGACGATGACCCTGTGGCCGGCCCGGCCAGCTGGCACTGCCTTTTAATATGGCTCGTGTTTCACAAGGTGCTGGTGGATTTGAAGCAGAGGGTTTCAAACCTGTCTTGCCCTATTAGAACAGAGAAAGAAAGGCTGTTTATGACTGCAGATCTGATAAGACTTTGTCTTAAATGCTCACAGGGCAAGTCCTTCATCAAGGATGCTTTAAGGTGCATGGCTCACGGTTTAAGGCACAAGTTCAGCTGCATCAGTCGAAAATGCCTGGCCATAAAGGAGATGGTCTTCCAGCTTCAACGGGAATGCTACATGAAACACAACCTCTGCTCAGCTGCTAAAGACAATGTCAATGTCATGGTGGAGATGATACATTTCCAAGACCTATTTCCCAAAGGGTAGGTATCACGCTCAGCTTATCAGTTTTCCGTATCTCCCTGCTCTTTTGAACATACTGTATGCTTTCCTGTTTGTGTGCTTCGGTATTGTTTGAGGTTTGTGACTCTTGTTGATGTCATTTACAGTGTAATCCTCATGCATTATTTTAAAGTGTTTTTTTTTTTTTACATGGAATCATATATAAAATTGGCACATATGATTTATTTCTGTAATATAAGAAATACATTTTTGTCATATAGTACAATAATTCATATATATTCCGTGGAACACAAAAGAAAGGATTTTAAAGAATGTCGGTAATCAAACTGTTTTGAGTCTCCAACTGCAGAGCCGCAGCGCTGATGAATGAAAAAGAAGGCTGGGTCTCGAGCGCAACACGTTGAAAAAGCTGCGGGACGCGGTCCAACGGTCGAAGATGTCCATCTAGCACATATTTACATAAAGTGCGGAGAACTTGCAAAGAAAATAGTGCGGAGTAATTGCTTCTTCTCCATAAGAAATGTATGATTGGCCCAAAGCAGACTTCTTACCTCAGCGCGTTCGAACCTCATTATGTGCTCATATCAGTAATCTTCATTCTTAATCATCCGTGTAATTTACTGGTAATGCTGCAACTTCTCATACTGGTAAATTGCCTGAACCGATTTACCGGTATTTTTGAAAAGGTCCTGTTCACATATGATCTCTTAATGGTAATTTACTTCTAATTTACCAGTAAAGACTGTATGTGTGAAAGGGGCCGAAACTGGTTGATTACCAGCATTCTTTACAATTTTGATGGCAAAATGTGATTGTTAATATTGTTACAGTTAAAGCTGCAGTCCTGCGTTTTTCCTCTTTGTCGCCATCTCTGTTCGAAATCTGCAATTGCAGTCATTCGTGGAATTATCAACTTAACGTGAGTTGTACTTCAACACCCTCGACACGGCACAGCGCGGATGAACACAATGTTTGAGGAAACTGTGAGCCTGTCAGTCGCCGCGCCGGTGTGGATACTGGCATTCAGAATCACAGATTATTCTTTTCGGAAGTATGACCAACATAAGAATTTTCACCGGAAAATGTCATCTGAACTAGTAAGAAACATCCACCTTTGTTCTGGTTCTGACAGTGCAGTAAATCGCGCTGATTAAATCTAACAATCGCTTATAAGTTATCATATCACGCAAAACCGTGCAAATTATACTTTGTTCTCAAATTGTTAATGTTAACAACGTCAGCATTGCGTGACTACATGTAATGTCCTTCCGATATGAATCCTTGTTTTCGCATGGGTCCGGTTGCAGTCTCTTTTTTTCTGTAAGTTACGCACTCCGAAGTCCGAACGAAGTCTTTTTGATTTTACAGCGGGTGAATCTGTTGTCACTGGTGATTGTCGTTTGAACCTTTGTGGATCCGCCATCAAATTGATAAGTTTAAGAGTTATCAATTTGACTCCGAGACTCCTTCTTTATGTGTACAGATGTGACGTAATGACGCAAAGACATGCTCGAATCTCCTGCAGAAATCCACCAGTACCACTGGAATTAAAAACATTATTACAAGCTTACCGCTTTGAATCGAGCTAAGGCAAGCAGATAGTTTTGAACTCTGGCTGGTTATGTATTTTCTCAAATATGTATTTTGGATAATTTTTAACCCCAAAAAAGCTACGGACTGCAGCTTTAATCTTTTATCTCAAGTAATTGTGATTAGATCGAGGGAGCTTGTTCATTAAATAAATGCTGTTTTATGACATCAAATTTAATGTGTTATTTTCGGTTAGCGCTGTGTTTCCAGGCAATTAATGTACTTTTCCATTTAAAAATGCTTGCATAAAGTTCTGTAAATGCACAAAGTTTGTTTATGTATTCGGCCTGAGGGCCTCGAGGAGCAGCTGTTAAACGTCTTTGAACATTCTCATGAAAAGTCGGTGTGTCCTGTCCAAAAAGAATGGTGACATGACCTGTCATTGCAGTGTCTTGCACCTTTTTTCCAGCACTGGCCTATAATGAACACAACAGGGAACGGCGTTAAAAACTCGAGACCTTTCCGTCAGCTTTTTTTAAAGTAGAGGCAAGTCACTTTTTTTTTTTTTACCATGACTGACCGCTATCATCCTGCTTTCTTAGGCCGTACGTTGAGCTGGTGAACATCTTGCTCAGCTGTGGAGAGGAGGTGAAGGAGGCCATTACCCGGAGCGTGCGTCTGCAGTGCGAGCAGAACTGGGGCGCTCTGTGCGACAGCCTGAGCTTCTGTTCGTCTATAACTGCCGCTCCAGCGCCGGGCATCCTTGAGCGACGTCCTGCGGTTTCCTCTCATTCAGAGGGGGAGCACCACAAGGGCGCTCGACAAGGAGACCGGGACAAACCCGGCAAGGTCGGGTTCAGTTCCCACACGAGAAGTCGGAGTCAAGGCCCACGGCGCGCCAATTTAGATGCCGCCGTTGCCGAGCAGGAAGACTCTAAAATCAGTGACATTCGGAGGTGAAATAGCAGGATCACCTAAATTGACCATGACACCCCAATCCCCAACTTAACAGACTCAGCAGACCTCCTAATTCAACCCATTCACCCTCACGTCTCCACAGTCATTCCAGCACTCCCAAACTGTACATTTTGCAAGGGTAAATGTGGTGCAGCTTTTTTGATACTTCAGATTATATTGCAGATTGTTAATTTTGTAGAACTCAGTGCTTTTATTTTAGTTCTAATACAGCATCTCTATTTCGCAAATCGTATCCTCAAGATTCAATCACTTTGATTTATTTATTTCATGCTTTATGCAGTGTTTGAATACATGTACATATAAATCTATGTATATCTATATTTATATAAACATGTCTAAATATAGCCTCCATATTCGGTAATGATATACTATATGTAATATAGCGCAAAGAATGCTTGCTGTTGTATTAGTTACATTATTGCACCAATTACGCATCTGACTGTAGATATGTAAGATATGTTTGTTTGTTTCAGAAATGTATGTGTAATTGTTATTTGAGATACTTGATTAAATACAAGCTGTACAGGATTGAAGTCCAGGTCTAGCACACACAACGCCATGTGCTTTTTAGAAGGAAGTCATTTCGAAAAAGAAAAAAAAGCTTATTGTGCCTTGAGATTATTACCCCAAAATAAACTGTGGAACCCAAGCAGATGCATTACGGTTGAATGCCCTAATATAACAGCCTATATAGTTGTATTCAGCATTACATTCAGATTTGAGCTTAGAAATATAAACATGAGCTGTCTCAAAGAAGTGCCCTGATCGTATCATTTAAGTCTAATATGTGTGCTGCATTTAAAGGCTTTGCCCAAACAGATTAGTTCAACACAGAACAACTTCAGCGTACAGTGTCTCATGGAAAGCAGGCCTGTCTGTGTTCTGGCCAAATCCACAGCCAGCCACTGGTGTTTCCAAGTAAAAAATAGCAATTTTCTCCCAGAGCCACTGAGAAGAGCCAGAAGCTGGAACTGTATTCGGCTGGCCTTAGACCCAGGAACTAGGTTAAGTCTACACAAGAAGCTCAGGGTATTACTGACAATAATATTGAAATGGGTGGATTATTGTTTACTATAGCAGAGAAAGAATTGTTTTGGGCCCTTGCCACGTGATTGGTTAATACAATGTTTGGAGCTGATTGTTGGTTTAAGAATAAGCAAAGGCTTGTATAGCAGCCTAAATATTACAATAGTTACTTTGACCAATCATATTTTTAATTCGCTCAGGTATTTTAGTGAACATGATGGCAAAATGTGATCAACTTTGGGTTTAGCCGTGGAAAACATTTTCAAATTGTTATAATGAAAACAATCTATGTACAACAGTTACAAGGAAAGTTGGATTCCATATGACTACAGATAGCATGTTTTAATTGTTTTAGAAAAATAAATACTAAAGCTCATTTCTTACTCGGATGTGTCCTGGATTATTGTTATTATTTTTCACTTTAAGCATTATTTTATTTGTTTTTATTATAAGAGGTCATGAATGGGAAATGCATTTATATTAATTTATATATGAATATATTTTTTAGGCATTCTATTAGCATTAAATAGGATAATTGTGGCTAATGTTAGTCTACGTTTAAAAGAATAATGTGTCTTATATGAATTATATATATTTACACTATCGTTCAAAAGTTTGGGGTCAGTGAGAATTTTATTTTTATTTTTTGGAGGGAAAAAATCAATACTTTTATTTGTCAAGGACAGTAAAGACATTTATAATGTTACAAAAGATTCTATTTCAAACAAATGCTGTTCTTTTGAACTTCCTATTCATCAAAGAATCCAAAAAAAAAAAACTGTACAACTGACAGACCAACAACTGTTTCAACATTGATAATAATAATAAATGTTTCTTGAGCATCAAATCCTCATATTATACTGATTTGTGAAGGATCATTTGACACTGAAGACACTGACACTGGTGATGCTGAAAATTCAGCTTTGATCACAGGAATAAATTACACTTTACTATATATTCACACAGAAAACAGCTGATTTACACTGGAATAATATTTAATAATATAACTGATTTTTGTTGTATTTTTAATCAAATAAGCGCAGCCATGGTTAACAGAAGAGAATTCTTTTAAAAGTATTTAAAATCGTACCGACCCCAAACTTTTGAACGGTAGTGTATATATATATACATTCATGCATATATACAGTAGCCTATATATATATACACATAAACATGCATTAATCATATACATAAATTATTATGCATCCATATATACAGCTTTATGTGTGATTTAAATACAATTATATGTAATGCCATTACAATATAAGCTATATAAAATATTACATTATATATATATATATTAATAATATTTTGTGGTTAATAATTCTGCAAGTTATATGCATCATGCATGACATATGTATGGGTGGATGGATGGACAGGTTAATTTGACAGCTTTGTGCACCATTCAATTAATTAGGCTATATTTACGATAATATAGTTTTATGTATAGATAAATAGTTTAATGCATATTTCAGCTGTAATAAACAAGAAACGGTCAACAAATTGTCTCGTCAAGACCAATCTGTCTCTTGACTTCCACAGACTTCCACACAGACATTAATCACAGTAAAGCTCAATCCAAACAGCCCTGAGTTTCTAAGAATCTGGTTTCTGTAAGGGGAAAAGGCGCATTGATGTTGGTCTGGCCCATGTTGTCTGAAGCCAGCCCTGATCTGAAGAGCGTTCCTCTTGACTGGCACATAAAGCTGTCAGGGCGTGTGGCACAGGGTTGGCGCCAGGCTGAGCTGCAGCTGTAGCGGGCACCTCCACCACCAGCCTCCTGCAGAAGCACTCAGCTCATCGCAGCAGAACGCTAGAATGAGACCACCGCACCGCAAACAAGCTCTCCTGCACTCTGGTTCGGGCTCTCCTGTCATAGGGCTGAGGATCTATAAACAGGCTTTATGAGGCTCTGGTGGCTGCGGCCTAGCAGCAGGCAAACTGGTTCTCAGGCTGGGGCGCTGCAGCTAATATATGACAGGCCAACACCACAACAAAGTGGCCATTCTGAACGCTGATGAGCTGAAGGTGTGGGTGATCTGGTCAAGCGGTCAAAGACGTGTAGTCAGACTCCCAAAGATCCCTGGAGCCCAGTTTTCAGAGATGATGCAGGGTAAATCTCATGCATCATATTACCAACGGACTCGTTATGAGGGAGACATCATAAAGTCATGTCAGAAAGTTTGTTTCTTTTTAAAAAAACACACCAGGCCTTAGTTAAGCAAAGCCACACATCAAGATTTCCTCTAGGCTAAACTACATTGCATTCATGATGCCTCAAACTTGCACAAGGAGGCAGAGACATCACATTAGACACCATATTTGTACATATGAACAACTGGGACTAAAAAGCAAGACAAAAAAAATGTGTTTTAATAATTTGATTAGAATTCTATTCTGTGTGTCTTTGCATCAATGTGACAAATCACTGTCAGTTCTTCTCTTGGATCGCCGCTGTCCTCGATGTAAAGCACTGCGTGTCTGCCCTCTAGCGGTCATTTGTATCCAATGCCTGTGGAATGCCAAGGTTATAAATTGAAGATGGTTAAATTTGGGTAGGGTAATGCAGTGTGAGAAAAAATAGGATTTTGGGAGCGTTGAAAAAAAAAACATGATGCATATTTGTTAATAAGTACGCCTAACCCCCTTTTTTTTATTTTAATTCCCCTTCTAATATTCAAAATTAAATAATTTGTTAAATGTGTTAGTTTTTCAGGTAGCATTTCAGCTTTACACGCATTTAAGCTTTAAATACGATTATATTTAGTGTAAAATAGCTTTTTAGTATTGACAACATAGCCAATCACTTTTACTAAACACTGAACAACATAGATTTAGGAACATCACATTTGCCTGCCTTTAGTTTCCCTATACTGAACACATTTGAAGCAAAATATGGCACGATATAACCTAATATAGCTACAATGAAAAAAAAAAAAAAAAAAAAAAAAAATCCGTAACATAACAGAAAAAGTACCCGTTTACCGGACATTGTCCAGTAATTTTTAGTTTTACACTAACCCTAAAAAACAACGCAATGAGGTTCAAAATCCAAAATACAGGTAAACCGGAAACCTCCGTTAAATTAATACAGTAGCCGACATTGTGCCCTATTTTTGAGATGGTCCTCACTGCAGAACACGAAATCCAGGGGGAGGAGTTGGATCCAGATCCAACTCCTCCCACCTTACATGTACCTAAACCTACCCATCTCCGCCCCCTGATCCCTAACCCCACCCCTAATCCTACCCATCTCCACCCCCTGATCTCTAACCCCACCCCTAATCCTACCCATCTCCACCCCCTGATCCCTAACCCCACCTCTAATCCTACCCATCTCCACCCCCTGATCCCTAACCCCACCCCTAATCCTACCCATCTCCACTCCCTGATCCTTAACCCCACCCCTAATCCTACCCATCTCCACCCCCTGATCCCTAACCCCACCTCTAATCCTACCCATCTCCACCCCTGATCCCTAACCCCACCCCTAATCCTACCCATCTCCACCCCCTGATCCCTAACCCCACCCCTAATCCTACCCATCTCCACCCCCTGATCTCTAACCCCACCCCTAATCCTACCCATCTCCACCCCTTAGATCTGGATCCAACTCCGCCCCCTGGATCTCGTGTACTGCGATGAGGTGCTACTGCTATGTTTACGGATTTTTTTTTTTTTTTAGAGTGTAGGTTTGTGGTAGTTACCTTAAAGTCACCCTAAAGACAATTATACTTTTTTTTATGGAATATTGCAGTATTTTTTTTAATAAATGGTTTATTTGTGCACATCACTGTTTTAAATTTTTTATTTATTTAATTGCCATAGTAATCTTTAATCAAAGTAACTTCCCCTCACTCACTATCTTCTCATGTTTACTGGAGCGAGGGCGGGGCAACCTGTCAATCACATGAGATCACAGCAGGGGCGTTTCCTCCGAGGAGGCTAGAGAGGCAGCGCCTCTTTAAAAAAATTGGATGAGAAAATAATCCATATTACAAAAACAAGACAATGCAAATATTTCAAAATGTGAAATAATTTGTTTTAAAAATTACGTGTTTTTCTAAAGTAACACTGTCCGGGCAGCAAAGTTAGTGAGCAAATCAGCTTGGTGAAATTACAGTTAGGCCTACGTCTTTGTGTTTGTGACCATGTTTACGGAGCTTGATGATACGAAAATCAGTTGACTATTAAAAAGAACAGTTGAACATCAGTTCACACATAAAATAGGGTTGGGGTAAGATGCATATGGGGCAAGATGACACATACTTGACCATAGATGTCATCTCAGCACATTTCATCTGAATATCAACAGTTGTGCGATTTAGTCAGTCGAAACAGTTTTGTGGTAATTGGTTTAATTTTCTGTCTCTGGTAAATAGTGATCTGTATTATGCAGAATATCAAAGTTTTTCTGTGTCTATGAGAGATTGGTGGACACAAGTATGTTTTTAGATTTCTGGAGTAAAAAATAATCGAAAAAGTTTCGCTGTAGCTACTTTTTTATTTTATTTTTCGAGAAGCCGTTCTCTTACTAGAGCTTCTCTCGTATTGCGTTTAGCTTACGGTACGGGAAAGATTCATCTTCTCGAGATATTGAAGCCAAAAAATTATCCTTAATTT